GTTAGCTCCCTGCCTATAGAGCCAGCCCTGGAGCAGGGAAAGAACTACATTTCCCAGCATTCCCTTGGCCACTAACAACAGGAAAGAGGGGGAGGGAGTGAGGAAGCTGAGACCTCATGCTGCAGCTTGCTGTGAATGGAGAGCTGCATTGGGAAGGGTAGGGATACCATATTTTAACAATCAAAAAATAGGACACTCCATGGGGGAGGGAGGGTAGCCCCACCCTGCCACCATCCACTCCCTCCGACTGCCCCCCACATCTAAGCCCCACTGGTCCTCGTCCCCTGATTGCCCCCTCCCGGGACCCCACCCGCTATCTAAGCCTCCCTTCTCCTTGTCCCCAACTGCCCCCTCCTGAGACCCCCCCCAACTTCCCCCCTAGGACTCCACCCCCTACCTGTCCCCTGACAAACCCCTGGGACTCCCATGCCTATCCAACTGCTGCCTGTCCCCTGACTGCCCCCCCGAATCCCTAACCCATCTAACCCCCCCTTCTCCCTGCCCATGATTGCCCCCCCGAACCTCCGCTCCATCCAACCCCCCCTGCTCCCTGTCCCTTGACTGCCTCCCCAGAACCCCCTACCCCTTCTCCAACCCCCTAGCCCCCTTACCGTGCCACTCAGACAGCATGTCTGGCTTCGCGCAGCGCCAGACACGCTGCTGCATACATGGTGCCATGCTCCCCTGCGGAGCCACAGCCCCTCCCTCCCCCCAGCACTTGCCTTCCAGATTTGAACACCTTAAAATTCAGGAGTGCTCAAGCTCAGTTTGGGCAGCTGTTACTTCATTTCTCCCAAATCAAATATACTGATCCACTGTAACTTGCTGTAAAAAAGTAGGATAAAATTGAGCAAGAAATGCTTCCCAGTGGTTATTAGGACTGGAATTGCTATTTTCAGCAGCCATTGCCTTTTGTTTGTTTGTTTGTTTAAAAGGAAGACAGTGATATTGCATTGGCAAATTCACCGTAGAAAGAAAGAGTGGAACAAAAGAATAATAAAGGCATCTCAACTTTTCCTCATTTATGTAGGACAGTCTTATAATATGCATCCAGATATCCTCCAATCACACAAGCTGAAAATTGTTCCACTTTACTGCAGTTCTTTAACCATATGGGAACCAGTCCTGTCTGTGTTCTGTGCACATCTAAAATTCCTGCTGAATGACCCGCCCTGGGAGCGAGTTACCAGTGACCCAGGGCTGCGGCGGAAGGAGGGTGTAGGTGTGTGGGGGAGGAGAGCCCAGGGCTGGGGCAGCCGGAGGTATATGTGGGGGGCAATGGTGGGGGGGTAGGGGGGAAGCCCAGAGCTGGGGCGGCAGGGGGGTGCGGGTGGTGGGGGAGATCCCAGGGTTGGGGCGGCAGGGGGGTGTGGCGAGGAGCCCAGGGCTGGGATGGGGGGCAGCCAAATTTTTTTTGCTTGGGGCGGCAAAAAACCTGGAGCCGGCCCTGCTGGGCAATAGTATTTTGTTCTTTATTGCTGCATCCCCTGGGTGAGATATGCAGTGCTCACAGCTTTGCCACCTCTCACCTCAGTACCTAGGCAATGAAATGTCTTCATGGACAGTCTGCGAGGCTGGATTCCTGCCCAGCTTTTCCAGGGGAGGTAAGTAAGTGCTCTGTCTGACATAGAAGGTTAACTCGCTTTTGTTACCACATTCACAGCTCAGCATCCCTTAATGCCCCCGCCCTCCGTGCTGCGTGACGATGATGGACCCAGCAGGCAAGTTGATATGATGCTTTGGCCCTTACGATATCTTTGAAGATCTC